AGACAAGAAAGGAGGGAGTCCAACCTATGATGCCTTGTGCATACCAATATCTCCTAGTCTGACAAAGTGCAGCTTTGTACCACTGCCCGTCTTTACACTTAGACAGACAGACAGACAGACACACACACACACACACACACACACACACACACACACACACACACACACTTTTGTTCCTTCGTTAGTTGTTTTCACTAACTGTAGCCCAGCAAGGCTGTCTTCACTACACATTATTTTTATGACTTTGCTAAATATTGAACTGTGGAAACTTCGAGTGTATAATGACAAACTATTTGCACAAACTCATTAAATCCCTCCGGTAGCAAACGACAGGGTTATATAATAAACGATTATATGTAATTACCTTTAACGCAGATATTACAATGTAAGACAAAACTAAGGAAAAATAGACACAAATGCAGCATAATGCGATACTTTATTGATTACGCTTCGCCCACACAGTGGGCTTTATCAAGTCACAGAGGTAATCCGTCACAAACATGAGGTAATCAGTCCCTCAGCCTTGGGTGAAGAACTAATTATCTCATTTTCTGTATATACTTCTATTGTCTTCACATTAGGTCCTTGTATTGAAAAAAAACACTGGATGGCGGTATTGTATACCATACATATACATATACAACTTTAAGATCTCGTTATCGTGCTTATCAAGTGGATATTTACTCTTGCAGATTTTCTATTGTGATATTCATGGGGAAAATGCCAAATAAGTAGGGGGTCATACTTCTCCAGACCATGAAGCAAAACTGTTCTCAAGGCTGAGGGACCGACCACCTCAGGACTACGTCGCTGATGTTGATGGATTGATTACATCGTCTTTACATTTCTACTGCTTTTGCTGTCTCCTTTGTATTCGACTGAAGAAGCCTATTGTGTATGTGAAACTTTTCAGAATAATGATACCTAATTGTTACACACGTGTCTTACTTGTCAACATATCGGGATTGTATGTCATTATCATATTCATATGGGGATGGTAGATCTAATTCACTGAATCAAGAGTTCTTGACCAATATCAAAACACTAATGAAGAATCTCTTGTGATAATTCTTTCTCCTCCACTGTTTTTATTAAAATTTTCATGTCGATCCAGTAAGGCTAAATGTAATATTTACTGTGAATGTTCATTCATGTCTGCATGTCTACAACCTTTAAGGTACAATGTTCACTAGATTGGTAAGGGCACCATTCCTCTTCAATTATCTTGCTTTTTATCATACTTTGTTTTCACTTATTTTATTGCTTTAGCGATGAGTAATGCGTTATCACCCAGATGTCTTTACCTTGCGAGTGTGTATAAATGATAGATTCAACATTTAGTTACAGAAGCAGAGCAGTACTTGTGGTCTCCATAATATTTTCCCAAGGCAAGGCTCATTAAACATGACAGCTTCTTTACTAAACAGTAAAAGGTGCTTGGCTGAGAGATTGTCTCGCTTTTAGCGGAGAGAGGATCGAATCTTCACCATTTGCGGTGAATGACGTACATGGCTTAAGCGCTTTACATAAATATACGATACCTGGCTCACCACAAGAGTCAATTAACTCCCAGGCACCTTTCGTCAGTTTTATACAGAACAGCAGGTGTAATGCGTCTTGCTCATACGTCTCACTTTGTATAGGGACCACACCCGGGAACTTTACAGTTGTGGTTGCCAAGGCTAGATTCTTAGCTCTTGACCCAGACTCTTGACGGATCAGGGTATGATTCAGTAATTCCTGACATAGTGGTCCCAATCATGACTATTCATATTGATGGGCTTAAAATTTTATATTCTTCCTCCATCACATCCTCATCCAGATCATTCCACTTTTTAACCACCCCAAGCCTGAACAAATATTTTTTGAATAGATAAGCAGGAATCGTTCTCGATTCCTCTTAAACATCTTGTACGTCGTGATCATGCCTTCCCTGGGTCGTCTATCCTTTATTATCGTAAAGTTTGTATCTTTAGTCTCTCAAACGTCATTTTCATTAGCTCATTTTTCATTCATTTTCTCTTGTTGGGAGCCTCTTCTCTTTACTCTAGTTTCGGCTCCATGCTAGTGATGCAAACATATATACATGGTCTTTGTTGAGGTTGCTGATAACCAATGAATAATTTATTCAATTTATACGCTCCCTTAGCGATATGCAGGTTACTACTATACTCTCCATTCTGAAAGATAACTCGGCTTTTGTCCACTCAGTTTGAGCTCCATTTCCAGTCTTCCTTCTCCTTCCCAAGCTTTGGTAACCTTGAATTTGCTAAACTCGTGGTGATTCACCGCTTGCTTGCCTGCGTACTCACCTAATTGTTGTTTCAGGGGTCGAGTCTCAGCTCCTGGGACCGGCTCTCTGGCCTTGTTAGGTAAAAGGACAAGTGAAACTAATGTGACATTTTACTGTAGGAACGTTTCGCTCTCCAGGAGTTTTATCAAGCTGTTACAAACAATACATGGACACAGAGGGCGTATATTTGGGCTTAGAGTGAGGTGTAGTAGTTGCAATACTAGTGGTAGCAGTAATAATAATAATAATACATGTGGTAGAAAAAGACTAGTACACATGTACAAGTCGACTTTTTCTATCACATGTATTACTACTACCGCCACCACTAGCATTACAACTACTGCAGGTCACTATAAGCCTATATATACCCTCTGTGTCCATGTATTGTTTGTAACGGCTTGACAAAGCTCCTGGAGAGCGAAACGTTGCCATAATAAAATGTCACATTAGTTCCACTTGTGTCCTTTTATCTAACATATTGTCGGTAATTCTACCAACATTAATACTCTCTGACCTTACTGGTTTCACCGTCTGACTGCGTGAGACCCATCATACCTATTCTTAAAGCCATGTATGGATCCTCCATCTACCACTTCGCTGTACAGGATGTGTGTGTGTGTGTGTGTGTGTGTGTGTGTACTCACCTATTTGTACTCACCTATTTGTGGTTATACATAGCATGTGTGTAGAGAACCTAGGGCAACCCCAAAAAAAAGTCAAACACACAGTGTTTTCCAGAAATTCATAAACAAGTGTGTAATAAAATATAAGGTTTATTCTTTGTTTAACTTTCTGGCAAACGACTCCACTGTTTATTAATCGTATTAACCCACTTGTTCTTTGTTTGAGTGATGACTTCGGATTAATCACCCTCACGCGCAACCAAGTATAGCACTGATACCTTAGTACAGCCAGCAAACTATCAAGTACAGTTTGCCTGACGTCGAATTTGAGAAAAAAAATACAAATGTCACTGTAAGGTAATCTAGATACCGAGGTACAAAAAATAATATATGAACATTTTAAACTGTACGACAACCTCTCCAAACTCCTACGCGTCGATGGTTATCGTACATCAGGCGACTATCCCGCCAGCATCGGTGTAGTGTTGCCCACATGAGGTGCCTCTAATGGAGTCACATTATATACTCTACATTTATAGGAATGGCATAAGTTTATTTCACTGAGTAAAACAGCCACCAAGCCACCACGTATACATTAATGTTTTATAAACCTATTACTAGGGAACCTAGGTTTAAAGATAAGTAATCCCCTGCCTCTTTCCCTACAGCCACTCCACCTTGGCACCATTGCATCTAAGCGTACATTCATCATTCAATTTCAGACGTCACACACTAGCATCTGATCATTCAAGTTGCATCATTAATTATTATTTATCACTTTACCAATAACATTCAGAGGTAAGCGTCCATCTACACACGATCAGTCTCCAAGACGTTACCCTTTAAGTGTCCGGTTACATTCGACCACCTCACCTAAATGATTTACAATGGATCCCTCCACGGTACTAGTTCTAAGTTGCACCTCCCTCCCTCACTCCCATTCCTCAGGCACACGATTTAACACAAGCTAACACTAATTCAAGGCGAGGAATAGTTGATGCTGGCTAATTTATAAATTTACAGGGCCAATACGTCATTGAAGGTCAGTGATACCACCACTAACTAGCGTAGGGTAAGGTGTGGCTCAAGCCAGTTGTACTGTCCAAGGAAGTGCACCTCCACCCCAGGGTATTGGTAACATTCAGCCAGAGAGTTGGGATATTTTTATGTAAACTTTTTTGGCGACTGACAGTTGTTATGCAAATCCCTGTCAAATGTAAGTATATCTTAAATTAGATGAGGTTAAAATAAGAATCGTGCATTGTTACCGCTTTGCAGATAAATATTTGATGTCTCGTCCCCGACATCCTGTTCCACAAGACAGAGATGTGGGTTGTTTGGACGCCCTCATACCCAGACCAGGAATGGACAGTCATTATAATTCTGGCCGGGGATAATGAAATAGACTGAGTTACAGCCTTAATGTCTGACTAACAATAATACTAATGATCATTATTATTAACGTATAACTACTGTTTATAACGCAAATGGGCTTTGCCTAAACAAATTTAAATATTTAATATATATATATTATATATATATATATATATATATATATATATATATATATTATATATATATAAAAGATGTCCAGCTATTTTTATAATAATAAGAAAATATTTAATAAAAAATAAAAATCTTTAAAAAATTAACACAATACAACTGTTTTCATTTATTAACAACGGAACGCCTTAGTTTATATTGTTGATAATAGAAGGAAAACTCCGATCAAATTGAAGAAGTATTGGCACATCATACTTCGATATCAAGCCCTGGGATCTGTATCTGCATAACAGAACATTTACAAGGAATGTTCCGTCGATGTTTCATCAACGTCACTATCATTTACATGTTAACTCTGTCACTCAAACCATCACCTACACATTTACCAGAGCATTACCAACTTTTTTCTGTTTTTCGTCCCTCGCAGAAAACGAAACAATCTAGTCCTGCAGAAGATGCTATGCCACGGTGTTGAATGCTAAATTATAAATCATCTACAAATGACGACAATTTATAAAACGATATTATACGTTTAACAGCTAATCACTACATTAAAAGTAAAGAATGACAGTTCTACCTACCTTAGACAGGTTCATATTGCGCAGGCGCTCGTCCGTCACCATACGGTTGTACATGGTGCGCGCCAAATTCGACCGTAGGTGCGGTCTGCCACTAGCTTCGGTCATCCCTACAAGGAAGACGATGACGTTATACACACAAACAGCAGAAGACAGCCGGTTACTCATCAAATACAATACTAACGCTAGGTTTGTGATGTGCTCTAGATCAGTCGCGAATCTAAAGTCAAGCAAAATCTGGCAAGGAAGTAATGGTTATCTACGTGAAACTGCAGATACTTCTCCGAGAATCGAGAGAGGTATGGCGCAGACACTGCTGGCTCCGCTGTACACCACGATTTTGAAGGGCTCAGAGTATTCTACGCGGTATCAAGACGCACACAAATAAAAATGAACGTCTGTGTTTTGGAAAACTATTATTCGATTAACAAATTAGCGTTAAATAAACACAAGCAAGGCACTGAAATAAATGAGACTAGAGAAGATGGCGTTTGTTTACTGTCAGTAGGCGTCATCTGGTGGCGGCCGGGCAAACTACCAGGCGAGGGAGGTTCAAATCTCGATCGATGGCAAGGCTGTGAATCTCCACAGGGTGACTGATTTGTCGAGTAGTTTTTATGTAACATTCCAGTTATGTTACATGAATACTTTATAAAATTTCCAACCACGCATAAGTAATATCAGCATAATTCTGGATAATTAAATGCTAGATAAAATGCGAGCGACTAAATCTCACCCGAATATTTTATTTCGGTGCGAAAAAAAGCAGGGAGAAACGGCAGTATCAAAAGAAAATTGAATTAGCGGAAGTTTGCTTATCTAATGTGTGCTTTCATAACGACGACGCTGCAGCAAAGAATCTTGACAAGGGAAGCGGAAGGGGGCTGGAGGAAAGGAGAGGGGGAAGGTGAATGAATGGGGGCTGGAGGGAAGTACCCCTTCATGGGAGGTTCCTTGATCCTGGTGAAGGGTTCTTGATCTAGAAAATTGGACCTGACCTCCCCTTGGATTCAAAGCTGTATGATTCCAATGGGTTTAGCGCTCCACAAATTATAACAGGAAAGTAGGTAAGGTGAAAGAATAACTGAGGGGAAGAGAAGGGAAAATAAGGTGAAACAGAAACAATAAGAGAATACAATAAATAAAGAGAGGGCCTGTGAAAGAAGAAAAACAGAGGACATATGCGAAAGCAATAAAATGTGAAAATACAGATACTCTACACAAAACGAGAAACGGGAAATAAAACTTGAGAGAAAGTGAAGGAGTGATTCAGGAGCACTGAATAATCCATACGGGTTGACCGCTTTTTGTCAATATAATAACAGAAGTGTTTTAGAATTGAAATAACAGATAAGAAGAAACATACAAAAAACAAGACCCCCGTCAGGGGAGGCTGACTAGATGCCAGTAAGAGGCTCTAGATCCAATGGAATGGGCATATCCTCCCCTTCCTTGGATCGAGCCTGTCATTCCCCATGCAAATTCAGCATCTCCCCTATTAGAAAAATAATGAAAATAATAATAAATATAAAAATAATAATAATAATAATAATGCAAAACGAGAAAGACTGAAGTAGGATAGATTATTTCATGAATAGAGATATTAAGAAGACTAATCAAGGAGTGGACAGGCAGAATGAGAAAACAAAAATGATAATGGTAAGAAAAAGATTAGAAAACTAATACAAGGCGGATACAAGAGAGAGAAAAGGATTCTATGTAAATATTCAACAACTAAACAACACAAGTCGAAAAAATGCAAAAATAACTGTCACAGGTGATAGATAAGAGGCAAAAATAAAGTATATTAAGAAAGATAAGAGCTCATTAGACAGGCCAGCAGGATTATACCAGGTGAAGGAATAGGGAGACATGTGAGCATGAATATGCCAGGTGAAGGTGGTGCAACGACCCAGAAAAGAGGACTGGATAAAAAAGGAACTCTGGGCGGCAGTAACGAAGAGGGTAAATATAAAGCTCAGGACAAAAGATGTTGAACCTAAGGGTGCAGAGTTAGCATACAAAAGAAAGTAAACAGGAGAAAGGGGGAAAGAAGATATGAAGATATGGGGAGGGTAAAGCGGGAGAGAAATGAGATGTAATAAAAATGAATCATAAGACAAAGGGGAGGGGAAAATACAAACACAAGAACTCTGAAATAATATGGTAAAGAGTGAGAATTTATTAAATAAATATTATTACAGAAAGACAAGAAAATTATCTATAAGCAGAAAGAAAATAGAGAACGACTCGTGATATCGCAATGATATGACTGTAAACAATTCATTGAAGATAGAGGTGTGTCTATGAACTGGTAAATGCTTGAGAACGATACCCCACAAGTGGTGAGTGGCTCTTGATCCAACTTATCCTCCTTTTCTTTGGTTGGAGCATGAATGCCATAGGTCGCCTACACATTGTCCTCTAGCCCCACTCAGCTCACACTGGAGTCACAACGGTGGTCATAAAGGGGCAAAACATACGTAACAATGGTAGTGATATATGTGCAATAAGCAAAAAATAAGTAAGATAACAAGAGTCAAGAAGAGGAAAGTAAAAGTGAATGCACACGGTATAACAGTAAATGGTGATTTAGTTTAGCTGCACAAGAAAGCTTCAACTGGGAAGAAAGATAGACGAAATTCCAACACTGGTGGAGGTGATCAAGACTGTAACAATGGACTCCAAGTATAGAATGAAAATTATAACAACAGGGTAATATAAAAGGGTGTACATGCCAAAAATATATAAAGTATAGACATCTAGAAAAACAACTCATCCTCCAAGTTTGTTTTAACATTCGATGGAAAATGCACGCTCTGACATTATAATAAGTCGCACGCTGCCAGAGCGCAGCAACCGCTTTTATTATTGTAGGTTAATATGAAAATATAGGTTATTATATGTTAACATAACTAAACCTAACTTAATTGCTGTTAAAAAAAATACATTTCCTGGAATATTTAGAGTGCACAAAAATGAATGAAGATATATTCGGCGAAAAATACATGTTCGAATTAGAAACCAGGTTACGCCAAATGTTTATGTGCGGTTCCTCACAGATTAACGCACTGGAATGAAATTTTCGGGGTCTCGTGTTCGAGTCCCCCATTGAGGGGTAGTGATTGTTTTAAATTACGCTTCCAGTTACAATATAAATAAAAGTTCATCATCTGGCCGAAAAAAAAACTTTCAATATTTATTCAAATGTATCTACACCACTTGTGCAACAGTGGCTACAGAACTCACTGGCTGGTTGGTTAACTGCGCTTAAATTCTATCGACACACTAGGATCATTAAGTCTACATGTAAATCATTCACCACAAGAATACTTTAATCGATATAATATGGATTGAAGCGAACTCTCGTCATACATACTCTGAGAGGCATACACCTGAAGGTGTACATATCCTGAGAGGTCGTGAATGGCTGGACTCCGAAATATTTCATTCTGACTCTGCACTGTGTTGACAACTTTACCCTTCTTGGTTCTAACTCGTAAAGGCATAAGAGAAAAACAGTAAATAATACAGGAAAAAATGGCATAAATTAAACAGATAAACACTCCCGACAAACTTGTGGTTAAAGATCAAATGGATCATACAAATACAACGATCATCTGGTCGATGAGTGCAGAAAACAACACTCACTGAGGAAATATTAAATGCACTAAAATATAAAGTATTGGACACCACAACAAAGAGTAGATTGCACTCTACCACTTGGGAAAAACGTTAACCATTACTAAACCGATGAGCAACATCTGCCATGTATAACCTTCGAAAAATAATTTAAAGATAAAATACTGTGAGACCGCACTTCACCACGTAAATATATATATATATATATATATATATATATATATATATATATTTTATATATATATATATATATATATATATATATATATATATATATGTCGTGACGAATAGATAAAGCAAAAACTCATTTAAAATTAAGCCCTTTCTAAAATTTCTTTTATACGTTTAAAGAATTTTTTTTCATTAATGTTAATGTAAAAATTAATAATTTTGTACCAAAAGAACCTTAGAAAACTTACCTAACCTTATTATAAAAAACGCAATTGAATTTAGCCTAATCCAACTAAATATATTTTAGATAAGTTTACAATAATTTAATAATAAGCAAACACAATGAAATATATTTTTTTTCGTTAGGTTCAGAGTAATTTTTGCGAAATTATTGCATACACAAATTATCGTTTGCCTTATTCGGCAAGAAGAGCGTTGCTATTTAAGCCGAAATCTAAAGTTTTTTCCTATTCGGCACGACAAATACACGCACAACACACACACACACACACACACACACACACACAACCACACACACACTAGAAACAATATAAACAAAGGAAAATAGTAATATTCCAAACGATATCGTGATTTTTTTCCATATTATCAAGGAACTTGTAAAAACAATAAAACAAGAGAAACATTTTCACCATCATTCATTCCATCACTGTCTTGTCAAGTTCAGGCGCCTTTCTTAAACTGCGAATAACCCCCCCCCGCGATTCAAACTGCAAGCACATTACTTCCCTCCTCCAGAACGCAAGAGCAACGGTTCTTGTATCTCACAAATGTCCTTACACACAGAACTCGTGAAGTTTTCCCAATATTTGCCGCAATCGACCACACAACACCACACACCTGCTGGATGTCAAACCCTTACGCAACAAAAACCATCTTTATCATCTCCAACGTATCTGATTTTAATATCCTAGCCCGTACCCATACAACAAACTGATATAACCACTTTCAGCTCGATTCTTCCATCCTGCCTAATTCCAAGCTACGAATCCTCTCATAAATGTAATACACATCTGCCCCCTCATCCTTCACTGCACCCTGACTTCCTCTCTACATTCATAACTCAGTCTCAAATGTTTACTCTTGTACCCTAAATCTCATACATATCCTTCTTTAGAATGGTAAGTTCTTTGTCTCCATGCTAAATGCACCACCCACCTTTTTACCCCCCATAATCTATGGTGACTCGTCTTCCTAACCACATCCGCCGACAAGTCCACTCCATTTACTCCCAACCTTTCTATCATATCCTAACCTCTTCCCATCACCAATTCTTTCATTTCTTACTACCCTCCAAATTCGACCCACCAACTACATCTCTTCTGAATCTCCCAGAAGCACAGTATTGTCTGCAATAAGCTCCTGTGATAATTTCCACCCCAACTAGAATTCACGTCTTTTGCAACCCCATCTATAAATATGTTTAACACCCACGGTGACATCATGCATTATTGTTAATGCAAAATAGTCTCTCTCCTACATACCCTAAGCAGAGCCTCACTATCCTCATAAAAATTTATAACAGCATTTAGTAACCTACCACCTATTCCATAAACTTTAAATATCTACCAAATTGTTCCATGTGTGTGTGTGTGTGTGTGTGTGTGTGTGTGTGTGTGTGTGTGTGTGTGTGTGTGTGTGTGTGTGTGTGTGTGTGTGTGTGTGTGTGTGTGC